ACGAGGCATGGGGTAGTTGTTCTTAACCGTGTAGCGGTTAAGGCCGCGGTAGTCGATGCAGAGACGAAGAGTTCCATCCGCTTTGCGAGCAAAGAGGACGGGTGCACCCCACGGGGAGTTGCTGGGTTTTATGAAACCCAGTCTCAGGAGCTTCTCAAGCTGACGCTTGAGTTCGGTGGCCTCAGGGATCGAGAGTCTGTAGGGTGCCTGGTGGTGAACACGATATTCAGGCACGAGCTGAATGGAGTGCTCAACGTCACGCATCGGTGGGGAAGGAGGGGAGTCATCCTGGGGCTCCAAGTCAGCCGTATATCGTGCGAGTTCCTCAGCGTCAGCGTCAGCGCGCGACGGCGGGGTGGACTCGACGGACGGCGGAGGGACGGAAGTAGAGATGGGAGCCATGAAGATAGAGGGGGGGTCTGGGTCTAGAGGGATGAGCTCGGCGTCGGGACAGGGTGGATCATAGTGTAAGAGATCCGTCACGTCCACCATAAAGAAGGTGACGTCRTCCTGTCGAATGAAGTGAGCAAACTGCCTGTCGAGGGAGATTGTGTGGGCACTGAAGGCTTCGGGGGAGGAGGATCGGGGCGTGGTGTCGTCATGGTACCTATGAAAGGTACGCGATACGTCTGTCCACACTTCGTTTTGAGAACGAGAGTGTTGGTCGCCCAATCGGCCTCGGTGCTGCGGAATCGACGAGACCACGGAGTGCCGAGAATGAAGTCGTACCCCGTCTCCATCACATCGAAATGTGCAGAGGAGCGGTGGCGACGGAACGCCGGGGGACGCTCAGTCGGCTCGAGAGTGAGGAAGAAGGGGAGGTCGGTGACCGTCTGATCGAAGAAGCGCTGGGTCTTGTCATCCCCTAGGGTAACGGAGATGAGAGTCGAAGACCCTGTCGTGGGTAAGCGGGCTTCCTTCACCACGCGTGGGTGAATGAAGTCGCCCTGAGAACCGGAATCCCACAGCGCTGAGTACACCCTCGTGGAGGTCCCGAGTCGTACGGGGATGATTGGGAGGGTGCGATGAGGGTCAGAGAGAATGGCGAGAAGGCGACGCATGCAGCGACATGGAGGGTGAGTCGGTCCTGATGAGCCTGAAGCATGCTCAAGTCCAGAAGAGAGGACACAACGTCCTCGCGAGAAGCAAGCTGCTCGCTGCAACGGGCTGAGCGAATGGGTCGACGCGTCGGTAGTCGCGGCGGGGAAGGAGGGGAGTCGGTGGTCTGCAGAGGCGCAGACGGTACTGCGACAGAGGGCGGAGTACACTCTGTCGAGTCCTGCGATACCTCAACTTCAGTAGCGAGAGGGGCGAACCACGACGGAGATGTCGGGATGCCCACTACTGAGGAGGGCGCAGGTGTACACTGCACCGTGGCTAGGAGGCGCCGCGGGGACGTGAGGCGCCGGGGGGGGACTGAGCACGACGCTGACGAGAAAGGTCAGCGTAGTGGCGGTCGAGGGCGGTAGTGTAAGGGCACCGCGAGGAGGTATGACCGTCCAAGCGGCAACGCAAACACCCACGCCGGCCCAGAATAGCCGCGCGCTCCTCADGGGAAAGGACGCCACGAGGAGGGACGAAGCCCTGAGGGAGGTCCTCCTGAGGGACCTCGGGGGGCGATGCGCCAGCGTGACCGGGGCGGCTGCGTGCCCGAGAGAGGGCAGAGAGCGCGAGCTGAAGGCGCTCTGCTGCAGGGAGGGTAGAGTCCTCCAAGTGATAGTGGACGGCTTCGCAGAGATCGAGGTCGTCGCTGTGGTCGCCCTCAGATGACAGTGGGGCAACAGCGTCCTGCTCACCATACTCCAGCATGCTGAAGCAGCGCAAGAAGTGGCGGCCCTGCTGCGTGGAACGGCGGGGGCGACTGCGGAAAGGGGAACGGCACTGGGAAGTGCCGTGAGAGGAGGAGGAGGCGAGGCCCGTGCGCTGGGGCTGGGAGGAGGAGGCGGGGTGAAGACGAGCTCGCATCCGCTGGTGGTCCCTAGCGGCCTCGTAAGCCTGTGGGGCCGATGTGAACTCGTACCGCCATAGCTCGGAGCGGTACTCGAGCGGAAGGCTGGCCAAGAAACGATCGATTAGGGCAGCCTCGGGGAGGAACGCCACGTCGCAAACGAGGCGGGCTTCCTGAAAGACCTGGATGTGGCGATCCAGGCCGGCAGCGCCACCAGAGCCGGACCAGCGTGTAGTGACGACACGCTCGAAGGCGTCAGTCACGGCGTATCGGGCTCCGAAGCGATCCTCGAGGAACGCCTGGAAATCCACGAAGGTCGGAGTCCGACCCTCACGAAGGGAGTAGGCATAGAAATCCTCCCAGGCCTCGAAAGGACCGCCACGCAGGCGCGTTGAGAGGTGACCCACCCACGTCTCGGGTGTGGCGCCCATGAGCTGGAGTGTGCGGGTGGCCGACTGCAGCCACCGAGACACGCGTATGCCTGTACCGTCATACAAGGCAATGTCTGACAAGCGGATGAGTGGTGCGCCATCGTAGTGGCGGCGAGGGGATCGAGGAGCGGGGGCCTGTGCCACGGCAAAGTAAGTCAGCGCAGGTCCTGGAGAAAGGGGCGCAGCTGACTGTGCGCCCGGGCCTCATAAGGGGGCGGCGGTGGCAACAGCGGCAGGCTGCGAGGGTGCTGCGATAGAAGAGGTCGCAGCAACTGCGGGAGTAGGAAGGAGGTAGGAAGGAGTTGTATARGGTGCARGRCGTGGAAAGCGAGCCTGCATGGGAGGAAGGGTAGAGGAGGTAGGGGGTGCGCCCGAAGACGCGGCCACCTGTGAGGGTGGGGGTGGTTGAAGGCGTAAGAGGGCGAGGTTGGCCCGGAGCTGGGCAATCTCGTCCTCGAGACCTCGAACGTAG